CACATAAAATTATAAAAAATAAAAATAAAAAACCTTTTTCTAAATCATTTTCCTTAAATTTATATTTTACATATCTCAATCATATTAAAAGAATTATCTAAAAAAAAAAAAAAATTTTGTATATGTTCAACTTCTATATGACGTTCGATATTTGACTCGTGAAAATTATCTAAAAAAAAAAAAAAGTGCGAAGAAAAAGTGTCCATATTTCAGCTTGTCTTACACGCAAATGTGTCACTTTTAAAATAAAGAGGCATCCGTATTTCGCTTTCCCCCAACAGCACATAAATAATAGTAATAAATAATAAAAAGTTGCTTTAATCTGTGTTATAATTAAAAGGCTAAATTAACTTTTATTAATTAATTTTAAATTTTATTTTAATTCAATTTAATATAAAAATTTATATAAAACTAACTACAGTATCCTAAATGAGGCCTAAGGGAGCTCAAATTAGAAAAATCTCGGTTAAATTTATTAACTAAAAAAATTCTAATCCTTAAATTATTGTATGAATTTTTATTTAGTTTTTATTATTTATCAATTTATTTTAAATTGATCATTATATATAAAAATTAATTGATATGTTTTATTATTAATATCATATGTGATTATTAAATTATTATTTTTATCATTAAATTATTATTTTTTATCATTAAATAACAAATACGTAGTAATTATTTTTTTTTACAGAATAACTACCTTAAAATAAATTGATAAATAATAAAGATTAAATTAAAATCTTTATAATAGTTCAGGGACCAAATTGAGGGGTTTAACCAAAAATCCCGCTCGCCGACGCAGCTTCCCATTACTTTCCCACGCGGCCCCGACACATCCGCACAACGCGGTTTTGGAGTCTGGACCAGTGGATGACTAACCAATTTTTCTCTCTTTAAAACCTAGTCTCATGGAGTCTTCATTCTTCATTCCTGCACTGCTTATTCGCCGATTTACTCATTTGCGAGAGAGATGGACAGAAAGGGGTGGTGGAAGTTCTTGGGCGTGGGGTTGTTGGTAAAAAGCGCTTTAATTTAATTAATTTGCAGTCAAATTTTGCACTCGATCGATCTGCTTTTTGCCAACTCCTCCCATGCCTAACACTTCCATCACTTCTATCTATCCCTTTTTTCTCTGCTGGAATACACAACTCTACTCCCCCTTTGGTGAAAGGATCAAGAAGGAATGGAAAGAGTGTTGTTGGGAATTTTAGGTATGGAAGGCCGAGGAAGATATGATTATTCTATGACCTTTGCAAAACAAAGGGAACATATATAGTCTTTTCTCCCACGACCTCCCGTACCCATGATTTCCAACCCTTTTCTCCCATTCCCTGACTCGTGCTGTGCTAGATCTGCAGATTTTATGTGCTCTGGTAAGGTTTTTGCAATTGAAATAATGTTTAGGAGGCGTTATAAATCCTGCTTCTATGCTTGTTTAATATGATTCAGAATTCTTATAATTTACTTTTCCGTTTAACGTTCTAGGTGCAGCTTTATGTTTCGATCTTAAATATCTTGTTCTTGTTGTTCTTGTTATTTATGAGTGCATCCTTTGGATGGTTTTTACATAACCTGGAATCGTCTATATGGTGTTTGTAAAAATGTTTGACAGATAAATTTTAATAGAGGGTAATAATACCTTTATAAATTGTTTAGTGTTCGGCTTAAGATCTAGAAAAAATTGATGCTACTACCGTGCTGGAACAAACGACAGTTTCATTACTACCAGTCAAATTAAGAAGCAGTTCTAAAAGGAATAGAACACATGATTGTGCACAAGTACAAAGACTATATTACCCCAGTTGAGCTAGAGAAGGGTCCCGAATTAGGTTCCTCTCCACTGAATCCAATAGTGGACTCTGTATATATGCCAAGACAGAACAGTAGTGAGCAATCTGAATCATCTTTTTTATTCATATTTTTCGGTACAGGATAATGAACTGCAGTATAAAGGCAACCACACAAAAACATGAAACATTATGTATAAGTTATATAGCTTCTTTCTTGTTGTTTTTTTTTTTTTTTTTTTCTTGGCACATACAAGCTATATATATCGCTTTTAAAACATGCTATTTGTTGCCTCAGAGGAAAGGAGAGAAAAAAAAAAAAAGAAAAGAAAAGAAAAGAAAAGAAGTAATGCTAAGGAAGAGGGTAATTGTTATGCTCATATATTATTTTGTTAAAATTATTTAATTTAAGGGGTTGTGAAATGTTAAAATTATTTAATTTAAAGGGTTGCAAGAAGTTAATACTATCCGACAATTCTGATAAGATAAGAACCATTCATCATATGATTCTGGGGGTTCACATTGCAATCACATGATGGATGACTTTGATTTTGTTAGGTAATCCTTACTTTTTGTTTTTTATTAGTTTAATTGATATTTTATTAGTTTATAATATTTTTTTAAATAATTGATTATAATGTTTAGAATTATTAGTTTATAAATTAATTTTATTTTATTAAATAATAAATATTAATTATTTTATTAATCATTATTTATTTATTTTTTGAACAAATTGACAATGGTGGGTTTCAAACCCACCATGGGGAGGGGAAGGGGGGAAGTGCACTTGCAAAGCAGCCCGAATGCAACTTGACTCTATTAATCATTAATTAGTTTTAATAATTAAAATAAACGAAATTAGATAACTTTAATAACATAATGAGTGGTCATGATTAAGAATGATAATTTATTCCGAAACCCATAAAACTCCATAGGATTCTTGCTTGGAGATAGAGATTCGAAAAATGTTCTTTTCCGCCGGCGAAAATGGAGGCTTTTTTTTTTCGAAAAATTTCTTCCACCCCATGAGTTTTCACATAGATTTGTATATAATAATAAAATATAAATTTATATTTTTATAAATTATAATACATTTACAAAAACATAAAACTCAATTAATTTTTACCCAACTCAACCTAAGTTTATACTTTATTTGTTTATGATATTTTCCTAAATAATTGGTTATAATATTTAAAAATATTAATTTATAAATTAATTTTATTCTATTAAATAATAAATATTAATTATTTTATCAGTCATTGAATAACTAAACAAAATTAGATAACTTTAATAATATAATGAGCTATTATGTTAGAGATGGGATGACAATTTACTCTAAAATCTGTAAAATTTTGTAGGGCTTCCCATCATGGGGATAGAAATTCAAAAAATATTATTTTCTACTAGGCAAGAACGAAAGCATTTTTTCTCTACAAAATTTCACAAGAAATTTCCTTTACCCCATGAGTCCTTGCTTGGATCCATATATAATAAAAAGAATATAAATTTATATTTTTATAAATTATAAACTATTTACAAAAACATAAAACTTAATTTTTACCCAACCTAATCTAAATTTATATTTTTATAAATTATAATATATTTACAAAAATATAAAATTCAATTAAGTTTTACCTAACCCAACCTAAATTTATATTTTTGTAAATTATAATATATTTATATAAACATAATACCTAATTTATTTCAAATTTCTACTTTTTTAAATGCTGTTTTTTATGAATGTGTTGGACTATATGCATTTGCTGGATTATTGTATGCACTTGATGGACCATTGCAATGGCGGAGCCAGGGGCGAAATTTGAAAATTTTGCAAATTAGTATATGAAAAATGTTTTAACCTCTCCTGACCTTTGAAACTTTTAGTATTTTGCCCTTCCTGAAAAAAATTTCTGCCTCCGCTCCTGGACCATTGTATGCATTTAATTGTTTCAAATTTATATTTTTTTTGTTTCTTTATATAGTATTTTTTTTATGGTGTTTGTTAAATTTTTTACGTGCTTTTCACTTTTGCAAATTCTTATTCTTACACCCCATGAATTACTCTTTATATAATGTTATAAAATTTATTTGTCAAAAAAATGAGGTTAAATTCTATTATTTTAATATTTGATGGGGAATCTACATATGCATGAGAATTTATTATTTCCTATGGAGATAGGGGGGCGGAAGGCATTTTTTACTCTCCACCAAAAATCTATTAAAAAATTCTCATACCAGCCACTGACATGAACAAAAAATAGAGAAGGGGACCTCACACAGGACCCATGGCCATCCCTAGTTATGATTATATCCGTAATGAAAAGGGGTGCCATGTGCACTCTGAAACCTCAGTCACAGTTGTCTTTCCTTTATTATTATTTTTTTTTTTCTTTGTTAAGTTTTTTAAAGAGAAAATGCACTCAGGCCAATCATAGCCCTAGTGCAATACTAAAGAAATGTAGGCAACTTTTGGTTAGAAAGAAAAACGGAAGATTTGTGATCTGTGAGTTGAGGATAAGCAAAGAAACGCTTTTTGGGCTCGAGTATAAAGGCCTTTTGCAGATTGAAATAGAAATCTGGATCTTTGATAATGGACGGCCCATCATCAATGAGTTCTGTAGGTCGTAAAGAAAGGCCCATATTTTTGGCCAGAATATTTACATCGAATGGCCCAAACCTTCTTTCAACACCACTAAGCCCTTTCTGCCAACTGGAACCCCTACCTAGAAAGCAAATATCCCCTACTGCCCTACCTAGATGCTGAATGTTTAACCTTGATCATAAATTATTTTTTTTTTTAAAGTCAATGAGTATAAATGCAGATAAAATTTTGCAGGTAGTTTTTAATTAAAGATTTTTTTATTATGTGTGTTAAGGGTATAAAATAATGATGTAATAAATATATTTTTTATAATTAATTTTTATTAAAAGTATAAATGTTAATTTTAATTTAATTAATTAATTAATTAAAATTATTTATATGTTAATGATGTTAAAATATATATCAATTTTTATAATTTTAATGTGAATTAATTATAAATAAAAATATTTATTATACCTTTAAATTATATTTTAAATGTACAAATTAGATAAATTTTTTAATTAATATTAGACGATACATGCTTTCTGGATGCTGACAAACGTAACCCTAAAGGTTAATATTATTTTATTTTTTTATTAATGGAAATTACAACATAGTGGTAAATTTTTTTATTAAAAATAAAAAGTTTTTAAACTTAAATGTGAAATAAATAAAAATAAATATGTAAAGAAATTAAGATATATTTTAACTTGTACATTTAAGGTATAAATTAAAAATGAATTAATTACATTTTTTACAAATAATTTTTTGCATAGATAAAATAAAAATTAATTTTAAATTTATAATTATTTAATTAAATTTATTAAAGTGATATTAGTGTTGAAAATAATATTTAATTTTATATTTTAAAAAATTTATTATAAAATAATATAATCAATATATTTTAATTTATATTTTAAAAATACAAATAAAAAATAATTTTCTTAAGCAACTCAAAATTTTTTTCAAAAAAAAAATTTGGAGAAGTTTGCTTTTTACCGATCCAATATTCACAAGACCTCGTCTAAAAGAACACACACGAGGTGGCCTCAATTTTCTTGGTCCCACGTCACTTTTGTATCCTTTTCAGACCCACTCCATTAACCACAGTAAAAAAAAGAAAAAGAAAATGGTAAAAGTGAAAAACGGGATCCAATGTTATTGGAAGAGGCGTGCATTTTGTTATCTAAGGAAGGTAGGTAGGCAGGCAGGGCGAGGTTCGAGACGGGACGGCTAAGGGGTAATATGGTGAAGTTGGTAAGTGTTTCATTTTTTTTATATTATTTATATTTTATAAATTTAAATTTTTTTTAATTTTTAAAAAATCTTAAATAATAAAATTTAAAAATTTTCAAATTTTTACT